AGATATCAATGTTCATACTTGGAAATAACAAGATACTTCCTCTGTTGGAAACATCATCGGTCAGCTCACGCCACAGCCTCCTGAAACTTATAGCCTGCTTCATACCCCGGTATGAGAAATGCACCTGCAATGAATGCGAAGTGTTTTCTGGCATATTTGGAAACACATTCTGGCACAAAAACATAAGCCCCACCATGCACCAGTGGTTGAACAAGCAAAGCTCAACAAGGCTTCCTATGGCAGCATTTCCCCACCTCAGAAAGATATGCAACTCTGGTTTTATAGTAGACAGCAGTGGCAGCAACTCATATATGATCCATCCAGAAAGAATGGCACTCCCAACACTTTACATATCCGGCGGGCGGTCTCTCCTTGTGACTCCTCACACATCTTTCCTTGCTCATAAATACATGAAGTTGCACCAGCCTGGCTTCAGACATGAAAGGGTAGTTGTGGAGGGTTTCGGACATTCAGATTTGTTGATTGGAGAAGAATCTTACAAGGAGGTGTTTCCTCACATACTATCTCATATAAGATCAGCTGAACAAGGAAGAATAGGGAAGGGAAAGAAGTGCAGAAAAGAGGCCTTGGATTGGGAAGCTGATGATCAATATGAAGGCTTGGGTGAATTTGGAACTTGGTTTTCTCCTTTTGTTATAGTTTTTTTGTTGTTTATGTTGCTTTCTCTGCTAGTGTCATTCTTTATATAATTTCAGACCAAGCCAAAAGGAGTCATTGTTTGTATAATTGCAAAATAGGAAAATATCAAGGACTGCCTTGTCAAAACCCCAGGCCCCATACTCCATTATGTCATGTAGTTTCATTTTGAGCATTTTGGGAAAATGTTCAAATAGTGTTAGTATGTTACTATGGTGACATAGTCTTAAACCATTACAAATCAATGAATAAATAATAAACAAAGTTTCAGTGATTTTAAAGTGACTCATATTATTAAAACTAAAATTATTTGACCTATTAGTAAGGAGAAGTTTTTGTCTATTACTATTGGACCTTTAGGTGATATTATTAATACTGTGTTATGCTACAGTTTGAAAATTGTGTTCGACCAATGGTGTCTAGCCCAGGGAAAAAGTACATTGACTTGCAGATCATGAAATTTTGGCAGTGTGTATAAGAAAATCTCCCTCCTTCAATATCTCTTATATAAAATAAAATAAAAATTATATTTGAATCTCCCCTCCCTCCTCCAATATCGCTTATATAAAAAATGTCACACCAAAAAATTACTCGTAGAAACAAGTCGGCCAAACGGCCAAATTTTGAGCTTGAGTTGCACTGTACTGAGAGAGGACTTCGGCCTCTCCGTTGATCTCAATTTGTTTGTTGAGCAAGTGGGCCCATTTCACCAGAAAAATTAAATAAATAAATAATCGTAAGAGCCAACAGTATGAGCGGCGCGGTAATTGCCGGAAACACAAATAACAACTTAACGGTCAAGAGAGACGAAGTTGGCAGAGTGACACGTGGCATTAACCCATCAGCCTCATCTCTCTGTCTCCGTCTTTACCAAAGATGCCCCTCAAACCCTCTCAAAGATTCCTTTGTTCACTCACCAAACCCCCTCTCTCTCTCTCCTCTCTCTACTGCGTTTGGATGATAACGATGAGCAGAGCATAGAAGTTTTAGGAAGATGGCTTCTTTCTCTCTCCACTCTCATCCTCTCCCTTCCTCCAAAACCCTAATTCCCTGCACCTCCTCTTATGGCAGCCCTAGACGCCTCTCCCTGTCCAAATTCACCTCCTCACGTCCCCAACTTTCCTGTTCTGTTTCCAAGGAGGGTTCCTCCGGAGATAACATCCCTAGGTAATTAATTGAATTTTCTTCCTGGTGTTTGGTTGATGAGAAAATGCTGAATTTTAATTTGCTTTTCTTTTTTTTTTCTCAGCACTTTTTGCATCATAGAAGGGCCAGAGACGGTACAGGACTTTGTTCAGATGCAGCTGCAGGAAATTCAGGACAACATCAGGAGCAGGCGCAACAAGATTTTCCTTCTTATGGAAGAGGTCAAAACTCTAAAAGGGTCTCTCTTGAGTATTCATTTTGCAGAGAATTGTGGCATATTCTTTGTTTGATACTTTTGGTTTGTGTAGCTAAGGAGATTGCGGGTACAGCACCGTATAAAGATGGCAAAAGATATCGATGAGGCTTGCGAGGAAGAATCAAATGAGATGCCTGACATTCCATCAACTATCCCTTTTCTCAATCATGTGGTGAGTTTTATTTATAATGTAGCAAGCTTCCTTAAGCTTGCCTTTTAGTTTCGGCTAACATTGTGTGATTTTTTTGTCATGTAGACACCAAAGACATTGAAGCAGCTCTACCTCACAAGTTTATCAATGATATCTACTGTAATTGTATTTGGGGGCCTTATTGCACCAACGGTAAGTCTGTAAATGTAGATTTTCAATTTAAGTTTCTTTCTCGTGACTGTATGGTGCTCATTCTATACTATTATTCTAAGTAGATTTTCATTTTCCTTACCTCTTTATGACTAGTGACCCCATGTTCCTCTTAATATTAATTTTAAAGTTCATGCGTTGTGCTGCTAAATATGTTGATGCACTTTACTGTTATATGTATAAATGTCTCAAACTGTTCTCTGTGGCAGTTGGAACTAAAATTAGGTATAGGAGGTACCTCATATGAAGACTTCATTCGCAGCATGCATTTGCCTTTGCAATTAAGGTATTTACTGAACATGCTTTTTCCTGATTACGAATTTAAAGTTCAAGCAACCATATTTGTGTCTCTATGAAATACGGATTTGCTTACTTGGTGTCCTAATTTACTTCTGTTGGATCTTGAATTCAGTCAGGTTGATCCCATTGTGGCATCTTTCTCGGGTGGGGCAGTGGGTGTTATTTCAGCATTGATGGTTATTGAAGCTAACAATGTTGAGCAACAAGAGAAGAAAAGGTGCAAATACTGCCACGGAACTGGTATGTTTCAACTTGTCTCAAATACAAGAGTGCCAACAGATTTTCATGCTCAACAGTTGCATTTGAATTTAGGATCTCTTCGACGATTTTATTTATTAAACAAAAACGGGATGATGTTGTGAATATTATGTTTCTTCAAATTTATTGAAATTTTTTCATCACAAAAGTTATTTTCAACTTATTATGTTACTTCTTTTTGGGGTGTGTTTTCCTTTTTTTTTTTTTTCTGCATAATTATTGTTCTTTTGTGTGAGTTTGAAAATTTTGTCTGATCATACTTGGACAGGGTACTTGGCCTGTGCTAGATGTTCCGCAAGTGGTGTGTGCTTGAACATCAATCCTATATCAGAATCTAGTGCATTGGACCGCCCTTTGCGAGTTCCCACAACTGAGAGGTGTCAAAATTGCTCTGGTGCTGGAAAGGTATGGAATTTGTTATACAAGGTGGCTTGTTCATGAGATATGATTTGGCATGTTGAAGTTTATGGAACTGCCATTTATCATACTAATCTACTGGTGTTGTTGATCATTTGTCTTGGCATGTGCTACACATGCTTCAAATCTCTCCATAAATCCATCTTATTATGTTTTCCTATGGTTTTAGTCATACTAAGCTTAAAAGAGAAGAAAGAATTATCAGACTTACGATGATTTGTCGTACTTCCCAAAGAAAAGATTTAGTGTTAAAGCTTTAATTGCAATTTGTTTCTTGATCTATTGTAATGCCAATCTCTCTCTTGTAGTACTAATCATCTTCCATGTTCATTTAGGTCATGTGCCCAACATGCCTCTGCACTGGGATGATGATGGCAAGCGAGCACGACCCACGGATAGATCCATTTGACTAAAGCAAACCACACAAATAACTTTACCAGTGTTATCTTCTTGTCGATGTAGCTTGGGAATAATTTTCCCATTCCTGGCCGTCTGTCCAAAGACACAGAAAGTATATAAAGTAAAAATTGTGTAAAAATAAAATAAGGCAATAGAATGTTGTCACAATTTCCCTGCATATTGGCATTGTTGTCTTAATTACAGAGTACCTCATGTAAACTAGGAGGACCAATTTAAGTTTACATTGTAAGTTTTCTGGTTGATGAGATGTAGGGATTTGGTACTTGGTTGAGCAGAATGCGAATTTAGATGAAAAGTTTACTTTTTGTTTACATATTCTATCAGATATTATTAGAAGCAAAGCTATATTGACCATCACATCCAGAGCAACTGCAAAATAGTCTAATTACTTAAATAAAAAGAAACTGATACGCAAGGGAGCTTACAATGTGAGATCAGACATAACCAATATGAATTTATTTGTATGACCAATTCAGCTGGCAACTAGAATCCAGGATTTCCTGCAATCAGAATTATAACTTTAACAGATATTCTCTGTGCAGGAAGGATGTGTTGAGAAACCTCACTTCTACTCAATTTTCTTTAACGTTAGTTTCATTTATTGACACGGTTGATTATTTAGTGTACAAAACGGTCATTTAAGGCTCCGGTTTTAGGGTTTAAGTATCAACACAAGAACAAAAAGATAATAGGATTCACACTGTTGGCTGTCCTATGAGCCAAATCCACTAAAAAGAACAAAAAGATAATAGGATTCACAATCGTTTGTATGAGAAAAGATAGTATCTCCTATATGATCCAATAACCCATTGAAGTTGATGAAGCATTCATAACTTGTTCAGTTTCCAAAGAACTATCAGCTCTTTCCTTTAAGCACCACCAAACCAAATCATTCTACCAAATGGATAATTAAGCTGTATAAGACACAGATAAATCAAGATTATATGTTTAATTAGGGTATATATAATTCATTTGTCTAAATTATTATCAACAGACAGTTTGGCCGAGTGGTCTAAGGCGCCAGATTTAGGCTCTGGTCCGAAAGGGCGTGGGTTCAAATCCCACAGCTGTCAAATTAAACTTTTTTTAATCTTTTTGTTATTAACACTTTCCGTTAAGTACTCGCGCGAGAGGAGCAACGACGTCGTATAGCTCATAATTTTTTGCACTATTATGTGTAGTTTGCTCATGCCTGAAAGAAACACAGTAGAGTAGTTGACAACTTGACAGTTTTCTCTTTCATGACCATGGCCCGGACCCTCGGTAACAAAACGGGTTTTCACCACCTCCTGACCCGATTCACAATCTCACGACGGCCACTGCAAACCCTAGCCTACGAAGAGCTCCGGCACTCCGCCGACCCAGAACCCTACCGCGCCACCGCTTTTGTCCTCCATGGCCTTCTGGGCTCCGCCAGAAACTGGAGATCTTTCTCTCGCGCCCTCCTCTCTAATATCTCCAACCCATCTGGTCACTCTTCCTCTCTCTGCTCGAGTTCTACTGGTTCCTCTGTTTTCTTCAAGCACTGATTTTGATAATTTGTTTCTTTGATTGTGTGTGTTTTTGTAGGTTGGAGATTGGTGCTTGTGGATTTGAGGAACCATGGGAGGTCAGCTGAGATCGAAGGTCTGAACCCACCTCATGATTTGGTCAATGCGGCCCAAGATTTGGCTCATTTGATTCAGACTCGAGGTTGGGCATGGCCGGATGTTGTTCTTGGCCACTCCATGGGTGGTAAGGTTGCTCTGCAATTTGCAGAAAGCTGTGCTCGTGGTCACTATGGTGGTTCCGCTAAGTTGCCCAAGCAGGTTTTCTCTTTGCTGAAAGTTGCTTTATTTTGGCATAATGTTTAAGTAAGTTATTCAAATTCTAGTTTTTCATCATCCAATAACCAGAACCATAATAAAACCTAATCATTCAGACCAAAAAATAAAATAAATCTAATCTAATCATTCTAGCAAAATGAACTAAATTGGCAAGTTTTTTGCTTGTAGGCTGTTGTGCCCTTCCCTGATACAATATGGGTATATAGTGTGAATCAAAATCATATTTTTTCTTGCTGGGTTGGGGAGTAATTACGACACTTTTGGTTCTCCACGTTCTTTTTGAACCGTGGATGTTGAAAACTTTCCAACCAATGCTTGTAAACTTATAAATTCTTATCATGCGTTGCTCTGTTGAATGTTGCATGGATCATGCTTAGTTTCCTGTGTTTGGTTTATGAGCAAGTACTGCTTCATAATCTATGTGTCGTCTAATGAACTCAAATTGAAACCAAAGAAAGGATTATCTATCACATTGTTTTTTCATTTTATACGACTCCTGCTGTCAAATAGGGCCAGCTTAGTCAGTTGCCTAGTGAATTCTAACTCTTGAATTTATAGCTAAAAGGAAACAAAGAAATCATTTAAAAGCTTATGAACCTGTGTGATTGAAAGCTCAGTTCACTTGCACTTAAAAATATTTTTGTGCTCTTTGTACTTTCTCTGTGATCCAGAACAGCTGTGGGTATTGGATTCCGTTCCAGGAGAAGTGATCCGTGAAAGCAGTGATGGGGAAGTTGAGAAAGTTTTGCAGACATTGCAGAGTCTACCTTCATCAATTCCATCACGAAAGTAAAACCTCTTTCTCCTTATGATAAATTATTTGATTCTTATTTGTGTACTTGGGTGCTGGAGTGTGTAACTGCCAGTATTATTATGAGGTAAACGGTTCAGAAGTAGGTGTCAGTTTTTTTTTTTTGGGTCTGAAAGTAGGTGTCAGTTGGGTGGAGTTCTTTCTTTGTATGCTACCCCCTTTGGAGATTGACACCATTTCGTACATTGCTAAATTTATTCAGATGCTTTAATTCTCCGGCCCAAAAGTCTCTATAATATTGGCCCATACCGTCAGATTGCTTCACTCAAGCAAGAGTCTTGGGTTCCATCTTAGATTTACTTTGTTTAAGCTTGACCAGGAGTCTTTTTAACTCATTATGAAACTGTTGTTTTTGCGTCAAAGCTTGGTTGCATGATGGAGTTACAAAGATCGTCATATATCATATAACGTTTATGTTTCCAAGTTTTTATGTGATAGATCTGGTTCTTGGCTTCAGGTGGCTTGTGGATCATATGATTGAACTTGGGTTCTCAAAGTCATTGTCAGAATGGATAGGCACCAACCTCAAAAAACAGGGAGATCATGAGACATGGGCGTTCAATCTTGACGGTGTTGTCCAGATGTTCAAGTCTTACCAGTAAATTTCTTATTATTTTCTATCAGTTCTTAGAAGTATAAACAATAATTTTTTTTCCCTCCCTCCCCCTTACATTTCCATCTTTCTATGAATCCAAAATATTAGGGAGAAGTCCTATTGGCATCTGTTAGAGCAACCCCCAAAAGATATGGAGATAGCTGTTGTGCGTGCTGAGAACAGTGATCGTTGGGACCCGGATGTGATTCAACGGCTTGGAAGCCTTGCCAATCGGGAAGGAGATGGATCGAAGGGAAAGTTTTCAGTTCATGTTCTCCCCAAGTCAGGCCATTGGGTTCATGTGGACAATCCAAAAGGTCTTCTTGAGATTGTGGCACCTAGGATTTCATCCCTATGACAAGTTTTTTATGATAGTTGGGTTTTAACTTTTAAGTCACCTGTCGCAGAAAATATATGGTGTATTTCAATTTTTGGCTTTTTTCTGGAACTATTTCTACATTATAACCAATTGTTGAAGAAGCCAATGCGATTGATTCAGAGGCATCTTGTTCAATTTCACACATCGATATCGTTAAACCATTCGAATTTGACATAACGTCTCTCTAAAAAATTTCTATCTTCAACAGTACGAAAGTTTTATAAACTATTCTAAGGGAGTTTACATATTTGTTTTTATTGCTACTAGTATGAGGCCTAAATCGAACTAATGCAAATCTGATATTACATTACTTTGATGTGCAGTGTGACATATCTATTCCAGGTTAATAGTTTGTTGCACCAAACGACGTCGTGGTAGTCGTTATTAGCAGAGTCTGTATTTTTAATGATCTCTTTGCCCAAACGTAGCGCCAAATCCCCCATGGCGCGAACCATCGGAAACAAACCGGGTCTTCACGACCTCCTGACCCGATTCGTTATCTCACGGCGGCCATTGCAAACCGTAGCAAACGAAGAGCTCCGGCCCTCCACCGACACAAAAGCCTACCACTCCACTGCTTTTGTCCTCCATGGCCTACTGGGCTCCGCCAGAACCTGGAGATCTTTCTCTCGCACCCTCCTCTCCAATCTCTCCAGCCCATCTGGTCTCTCGTCTTCTCTGCTCGGTTTATTAATTCCTCTGTTTTCATAAATACACTGATTTTGTTCTGGCAAAAAAAAAACACTAATTTTGTTTCTTTTTTCTTTGATTGTGTGTAGGTTGGAGAATGGTGCTTGTGGATTTGAGGAACCATGGGAGGTCAGCTGAGATCGAAGGTCTGAACCCACCTCATGATTTGGTCAATGTGGCTAATGATTTGGCTCATTTGATTCAGACTCGAGGTTGGGCCTGGCCCGATGTTGTTCTTGGCCACTCGTTTGGTGGTAAGGTTGCTCTGCAATTTGCACAAAGCTGTGTTCTTGGTCACTACGGTGACTCTGCTAAGTTGCCCAATCAGGTTTTCACTTTGCCCCTCAAAGTCTTGTCCTTTCTCATTGGCGCTGAAGTTGCTTTGAGCTTAACAAAAAAACTAGAATTATTATCTAAGTCCCGCAAAGTGAATCAAAATGTGGAAGTTTTTGAGTGTAGGCTGTTGGATCTTTCCTTGATGCAAAATGATTATATATTGTGAGTCAAAATAATGTTTTGTGGGTTGGGGAGTGAGTGAGTTCTACGCTTTTTGGCTCTAAGAGCTCTTTGCTTTGCATTTGTAGCATCTCTAGGATCAACGATTGGGACCCCACTTGTAGCTTCTTGAACCTTGAATGTTGAAAACTCTCCAACCAATAAGCAGGGTTTTTAGCGATTTGGTTATGTTGCATAAATCTTGATTAGTTTCCTTGTTTATTTTTACAAGCAAGTACTGCTTTTAGTATGGCTCCTGTTGTCAAACAGGGCCTGTGGGCTAGTGAGTTTTTCCTTTTGATGCCCTTTTTATTTTCTTTGTGACCAGAACAGCTCTGGGTATTGGATTCCCTTCCAGGAGAAGTGAACCCTGAAAACAGAAATAAGGAAGTTGAGAGAGTTTTGCACGCATTGCAGAGTCTACCTTCATCAGTTCCATCACGAAAGTAAAACCTCTTTCTTCTTATGATAAGTTATTTGGTTATTGTGTGTACTTCGATGCTGTAGCGTCGTAGTGTTATGGCGTAAACGTTCAGAAATTGGTGCCTGGTGGAGTTCTTTCTAAGTGTTTTTCTGTATGCTAACCCCTTCGGAGATGACTGTATTCCAAAAAGAGTTTAAGTTTATTCAGATACTTTAATTCTTCATACCAAAAGTGTGTATCATATAGTGGAAGATGTTACTGAAAGAATTCATCTGCTTAATAATGTCGGCACATACAAAAGCCTTGGATTCTGTCTAGCTTTACATTGGTTAAACTTGAACAGGTGTCAAGTTAACTCCATTTGTAGGACGTTTGCTTTTTGCTTCAGAATTTGGTTGTGTGAGGAGTTACAAAATTATCCTATGTCTGCCCTTCATGTTTCCAAGTTCTTTATGTGATGAATCTGGTTCTTGGCTTCAGGTGGCTTATGAATCATTTGACTGAACTTGGGTTCTCAAAATCATTCTCACATTGGATAGGCAGCAACCTCAAGAAACATGGAGATCATGAGACATGGGCGTTTGATCTTGATGTTGCTGTCCAGATGTTCAATTCTTACCAGTAAATATCTCATTACTTTGAGATCAGTGTTTAGTAAAAGCAATGGAAATCTTTTTCCCTCCCCCTGACCCCTTCATCTTCTGTGATTGTGAATTATTGCAGGGAAAAGTCTTATTGGCCTCTGTTGGAGCACCCCCCGAAAGATATGGAGATAGCTGTTGTGCGTGGTGAGAACAGTGATCGTTGGGACGCAGAAGATATTGAACAGCTTGAAAGCCTTGCCAACCGGGAAGGAGATGGATCGGAGGGGAAGGTTTCAGTTCACGTTCTTCCGGAATCAGGCCATTGGGTTCACGTAGACAATCCAAAAGGACTTCTTGAGATTGTGGCACCAAAGATTTCATCCCTTCGACCTTAAACCATAGTTGGATTTTAAAAGTCATCTACCACAGAAGAGATATAGTGGATTAGTGACTTCTTTCTTATGATTTTTCCATTTTTGCTGGCACCCAGCACCTTCATGGGATGAATGCGGCTGTGTTAATAATATTGATACTAACTCTCTAGCCTTAAATGTACAAACCTGAGAATTACAAAATTTATGCTTGCATTTAGAGATATATATATAATCATTTTTATCTTTGGCTGATCTTTTCTGGTTTTTGGATTTCATCTGGCTCTACATTATAAAACTTTCTACCAGTTGCTAACACATGGGAATTTGATTAATTGAGAGGCATATTGTTCATTCTAAAAACTTTTTTTTTTCATAATCAATTTGGGCGTGAGATTCAAACTTGAAACATCTTTCAACATTGGAACGGAAAGTACATCTAGAGTAAACCTAGTTGATTTATTTATTAACTCCACACAATTTGCTAAACCTAATATGGAGTGTCATATTGAAGTAAAGTTTCTTAACTGCTTCACTACCTAAGATGGCACTATATGAAGGTTCTTCATCTTCATCATATTATAGAGGGGAAAGGACAACGAAAAGAAAAGGAAAAACAAAAATTGAATGATCATTGATATGCAAATATAATTTGATTAAAAAATACTTTAATGAGAAGAAAAAAAAAAACAAAAAACAGTACCTCTCTGTCCCTCTCCCTGTTTCTCTCTGTTTATTTAGTTGTACAACAACTACAGAATCAAACACACACAACCCCTCAAGAAGGACTAGCGCGATTCAACATGGTCGTAGTACAAGGCTCCTTCACCGACCCTCCTAACAACAGCAAGAAATGGTACTCTCTCTCTCTCTCTCCCTCTCAAACTACAAATGAATTGTTATTTGCATTTTGAGGTCAGGGTTTAGGGTTTTAATTCGTCTCCAATTTTCGATTTTTCATTGTTAATGTGGTTCAAATTCCTCACCCGGCCATTGATAAGGAATTCCTCGCCGCTCCTATCAAATCTGCCAAGGACAAATTCGCGCTTGTACCTGAGTTTCTAAAGATTTGAACTGAACATAGATCATTTACTCGTTTTTCTCCTTCTAAATTTTGTTATTGTACTCATTTTTGTTCTTTTCATTGTTGTTGTTATTATCATTAAGTGCAATTAAAAAGAAAGGAATTATGTTAACATGTAGGTGAGAGGGCTGGTAAAGCAACATTTGGACTCGTTTAATTACTTTGTTTTGTGAACACTGGAATCAAGAAAATTGTTCGTGCCAATGATCGGATTGTGTCTGAAGTTGATCCAAGTATGTATTTTAGGTTCAAGGAAATCTCCATTGGTGAGCCCTCCCAGACATCTTATGGAGTCACTGACCCAATTACTCCCCATACATGCCGCTTATCTGATATGACATATGCTGCTCCGATAAGGGTATATGTAGAGTACATTCAAAAAATTCGTGGTCAAAAGACAAAGATGGAGAAGAAAGGTGTTGTAATTGGAAGAATGCATGTTATGTTAAGGAGTTGCTGCTGTAAGTTATATGGGAAAACTGAATCTCAGCTTGCAAAACTTGGTGAGTGCCCCCTTGATCCTGGAGGATATTTTATCATCAAAGGGAATGAAAAGGTGCTTTAACAAGGGGAACTTAAATGCATCTGTTACTAGTAGCTCAGAGAGAATAAAAAGTAAGACTGTTATTCAGATGGAAAATCAGAAGATCTATTTGATACTTATCCAATTTGTCAAAAAGATTCCTATTACGGTGGTCATGAAGGCTATGGGAATGGAGAGTGATCAAGAAGTACAGATAGTTGGTAGAGATCCTCGATATGCTGCCCTGCTAATGCCGTCTATGGAGGATTGTGCAAAGGAAGGTATATATACACAAGAGCAAGCCTTGGGCTACCTGGAGCCAAAGGTGAAGAGGTTTGGTTTTGCTGGTGCTTCATCTAAGAAGGATGGTGCTAGAGTAATCACACTTCTTCAAGATGTGTTTCTTGCTAATGTTCGGAGTGAGAACAATCTTCATCCAAAATGCATATATGTTGCTGTCATGTTGACGCATAATGGATGCAACTTTAAACAAGGATGCAATGGATGACAAGGATTATGTTGGAAACAAGCGAATTGAGTTATCTGGTCAATTAATAACTCTTCTGTTTGAGGATCTGTTCAAGACAATGATTACTCAAGTTAAGATGACCGCAGACAAAAAACTTTCAACAAAGCCGGCAGGTCTAGCTGTTTTGACTTTGCAGAATGCATGAAGAACGATAATATTACTATTGGCTTGGAAAGAACCCTGTCTACCGGAAACTTTAATATCAAACAGTTCAAGAAGGACAGTAAAGGCATGACACAGGTACTAGCTAGGTTATCCTTCATAGGGTGTCTGGGCCATATGACCAGAATCCAGCCAAAATTTGAGAAGACACAGAAAGTAAGCGGACCTAGAGCCTTGCAACCTAGCCAATGAGGCATGCTTTGGCCGTGTGACACTCCAGAAGGAGAACTTTGTGGACTGGTAAAAAACTTGGCCTTGATGACTCATGTGACAACTGATGAAGAGGAAGGCCCATTAAAGTCTCTATGCAGAAATTTGGGTGTTGAAGGCTTGGAACTACTGTCAGCAAATGAGCTCACACATCATATTCTTTTCTGGTTATTTTCAATGGAAACATACTTGGAAAGCATAGGAACCCAAAGCAATTTGCCACTGCAATGAGAAAGTTGCGCAGAGCTGGCCATATTGGGGAGTTTGTAAGTGTTTTTGTTAATGAGAAACAGCATTGTGTTTACATTGCTTCTGATGGTGGCCGCGTTTGTCGTCCACTAGTTATTGCCGACAAGGGCATACCAAGGGTCAAAGAACATCATATGCAGGAGTTGAAGGCTGGTATCCGCATTTTTGATGATTTTTTAACTGATGCGCTGATTGAGTATCTTGATGTTAGTGAGGAGAACAATGCTTTGATTGCTCTATACGAAGATGAGGGGACAGCCGAAACAACCCATATTGAAATTGAGCCTTTCACCATCTTAGGTGTTATTGCGGGGCTAATACCATATCCTCATCACAACCAGTCGCCTAGAAATACATACCAGTGTGCTATGGGAAAGCAAGCAATGGGAAATATTGCATATAACCAGCTACGTCGGATGAACTCATTGCTTTACCTTTTGGTGTATCCTCTACGACCATTATTGACAACAAGGACAATTGAGCTGGTGGCCCATGACAAACTTGGAGCTGGGCAGAATGCAACTGTTGCTGTGATGAGTTATAGTGGCTATGACATAGAGGAAACTTGGAGCTGGGCAGAATGCAACTGTTGCTGTGATGAGTTATAGTGGCTATGACATAGAGGACGCAATAGTCTTGAACAAGGCATCTCTGGATCGTGGTTTTGGTCATTGTATTCTTATGAAAAGATATTTTGCCACCCTTCAAAATCATGGCAATGGGGCACGCGACAGAATAGTGAGGCCCAATAGAGATGAAGTTTATTCTGGACAGATGCGAGTGCTGGATGATGATGGACTTGCTGCACCCGGGGAAATTATCAGAACAAATGACATTTAAGTGAATAAACATGTGCCTAGTGTCACAAGTGGGAACCAACGGAATTGGATTTGAAAAAAATTCCGTATAAAAAGGGTGAAGTAAGATACAATGGACCTCACGGAGAATCTTGTGTGGTCGATAAAGTGACTCTTTCTGATGCACATAATAATTTATGTACGAAATTCTTAATTCGCCATACTCGCAGACCAGAGGTTGGTGACAAGTTCAGTAGCAGACATGAGCAGAAAGGCGTTTGTGGTACCATTGTCCAGCAGGAAGATTTCCCATTTTCAGAACGCGGCATTTGCCCCGATTTAATCATGAACCCGCATGGGTTTCCAAGTCGTATGACTGTAGGCAAGATGATAGAGCTTCTTGGGAGCAAAGCAGGAGTGTCATGTGGGAAATTTCACTATGGCAGTGCCTTTGGTGAACCAAGTGGTCATGCAGACAGGGTTGAAGCTATAAGAGAAACCCTGGTGAGGATGGGGTTTAGCTACGATGACAAGGACTTCATTTACTCAAGCATCACAGGTTGCCCTTTACAGGCATGTATATTCATGGGACCAATTTACTACCAGAAGTTGAAGCATATGGTCCTGGATAAAATGCACGCACGAGGTCACGGTCCCAAAATTGCTCTAACTAGGCAGCCTACCGAGGGAAAAACCCGTAATGGAGGACTTCGAGTTGGAGAAATGGAGCGTGATTGTTTGATTGCTTATGGTGCAAGCAATTTGATTTATGAGCGGCTAATGCTCACGAGTGACCCTTTTCAAGTTCATGTTTGCAAAGAGAGGTTTGCTGGGCTATTACAGCCATAAGCTGAAAACTAGAATTTGTTCGTCGTGTAAAACTGGGGATAAAATTTATACTGCGATGATGCCTTATGCTTGCAAGCTCTTGATCCAGGAACTCCAATCGATGAACATTGTTCCTCGCATAACACCGACGGAGGCGGACAAGGAATGAAGTTGTCAACTATTGACTTTTATTGACACGACAAAGTACAAATTGAAAGGTGCCTGCCTTCAACGTATTCTACTTTTCCATTGTGAGGCAGTTGCGGCATGACATAGATGTTGGTTTAAGAAATTGGAGGTGATTTTGAAATAGTAAATAACAGTGTTGTACATATCAACTGGTGCACATAAATATGCCCCTTTGAATCATCTCTCTTCTTAAATAATTTAATAATTGAGAGAGTCGAGGAAGAAAAAAAAATCAAACCCTATGAAGCAAAATATCCAACCAAGTCGAGCAAAAAACTCAACCTAATGAAGAAAAAAATCGAACTCCATGAAGTAAAAACCGAAAATGAAGAAGAAAAAACCAAAACCAAATGAAGCAAAAACCTAATCCATATGAGGCAAATTGACGCTCAAGGATTTTGGGTTGACTGACATTGCCCCTTATATCGTTAAAGAAATTGACAAGAATATTAATATATCCTTGAATTGCTACAAATACTGGCAAATTTGACAGAATTGAAACTATATGGTCAAAAGTGATTAAAGTGCCAAACTATAAGGACCAAAAATGACTTTTGGCATTCTATAATAGCCCCTACCCAAAAGCCAATGAAACAAAAAACTGAATCCAATAAAGCAAACCATAATTGATAAAAAAATAAAAAAATAAAAAAATAAGTGTGTTTTTTTTTTTTTTTTGGCAAAAGGTTTTTGTAGTATTTTATTTCATCACTAAAAAAAAGAAAGAAAAAGAAAACAAAGTGGTGTAGTCTGGTAGAGAAACTATACAATTAGGAATTAAAAGGGTAATCAGGTCATTTCAGAAACCAAAGAATGGTCAAAAATGATTAAAGTGCCAAACTATAAGGACCAAAAATGACTTTTGGCATTCTATAATAGCCCCTACCCAAAACCCAATGAAACAAAAAACTGAATCCAATAAAGCAAACCATAATTGATAAAAAAATAAAAAATAAAAAAAATAAGTGTGTTTTTTTTTTTTTTTGGCAAAAGGTTTTTGTAGTATTTTATTTCATCACTAAAAAAAAAGAAAGAAAAAGAAAACAAAGTGGTGTAGTCTGGTAGAGAAACTATACAATTAGGAATTAAAAGGGTAATCAGGTCATTTCAGAAACCAAAGAGAAACCCTAACTATAAATCATAACAAGAGATATAGCCATCTCATCTCAGCAGGTAGAGGGTTTTGAAAGCGCTGAGCTTGAGCGCCACAGTTGTGAATAACCTCTAAGTAATCGCCTGCTTGTAGCCATGGTAAGCAACTTTCTCTCCATCTCTGCTTTCTGTTGCATCTGCTTCATCCCATTTGCCTCGTTTCCTGATCCATCAGTATTTTATGGTATTTACATTCTCTGGGGCTGCCCAGAAAGTGAAGGCAAAATATGAAAAGAACGTACACTTTTTTCTCTCTCTTGAGTTTTCTCGCCAACCAAACACAACATGATTCAACTTTGTTGGTGTATTTTTTCAGAGGATTAGATTTATCAGCAACTTCGTATTTTGATCTTGTTTATAATATAATTTTCCGATGCGCTATATCATTTCTACTATGATTAAGCTTAGAACCATTCAATTACTTGTATAAAGTTTTGATTTTGTTTTTCTTCTTTCAAATGGTATTGTAGTCGAGAAGGAAGACCAGGGAGCCCAAGGAGGAAAATGTCACTCTCGGACCTGCTCTCCGAGATGGAGAGCATGCTTTTGGTGTTGCTCATATTTTTGCCTCATTTAATGATACCTTCATTGTAAGCACTATCTTATTGTTCTTGAATCTTGTAACTATTATTACTAGTTTAAGTTATATATAAATTTCTTGTTTTCTAATTGCAGCATGTAACTGACCTGTCTGGAAGGGAGACACTTGTTCGCATCACTGGTATAATATTCAACTTCTCTTTTGTTAATTGAAATAATGTTTTGGTATTTTTTGCTTTGGAATTCTCCCCAGTAATTTAGTCAACCCATAATTCATTGTAGAGCTATGTCATCAAAACTAGTGATGTGTACGAATGATGGGTGCTCAAGTATTAATGTATTTGTTTTTTTCTTCATTGTTAATGTTCTTCATAAACCGGGCAATTTAGTCCTGGCATTTTGAAGATAATTTTCTTTTGATTGTGCCCCTGCTGTTGCTATAATACTCTATCACCTTTTTCCCAAATGCAGGTGGTATGAAGGTGAAAGCTGATAGAGATGAATCATCACCATATGCAGCCATGCTTGCAGCCCAGGATGTTTCTCAACGGTGCAAGGTCTGCATGTTTTCCGTCTACTGGTTTTCAGTTGTATACATTGAATTATATGTCTTGCTGGATGATTATGTCAATTGGCTACTGCATTACCCCGCTTGTTGATGGTAATTTGATATTATGCAGAAAACTGCGTCTTGACTCTTAGTATTGATTTTGTAGGAGCTTGGCATTACTGCTTTACATATAAAGCTCCGGGCTACTGGAGGGAACAAGACTAAGACTCCTGGTCCTGGTGCCCAATCAGCACTCAGAGCCCTGGCTCGTTCTGGCATGAGAATTGGTCGTATTGGTAATTACCTTTGCTGTTTTATTTCTGTCTGCCTTACTAAATTTATTATGTATCCATATCTTTTTTACCCTTTTCTCCCACTATTGGTTTTAAATGTGTTCTGTGCCTCTCCTGATGCCTTGAATGATTGGAAATTCTGGAAATTTGGTCATATGGCTTTGCTGCTTTTATAGAACCCTATGTAAAGCACTTAGAGCTCATGCCTGATATACGATAATTACTTTGGGTTTGTAGTGTAGAGACACAAACAATGTCATCTAAGTTAAACATTTGAGGTGCTGGTTTTGTAATCTTCAATCCTGAGTTAAGTTCTTGATGTTTTTTTTTCCTGTTTTGGCAGAGGATGTGACTCCAATTCCCACTGACAGTACTCGTAGAAAGGGTGGCAGAAGGGGAAGAAGGTTGTGATTGCTTACAATTGTGTGGTTTAGCTGGCGATGTGGTTTCTGGGATGTTTTTGTTTTGGATAAAAAAAATTTATTATCAGCCTTGCTATCGGCTCGGATGTAGTTTTATCCAATTCCCACTGACAGTACTCGTAGAAAGGGTGGCAGAAGGGGAAGAAGGTTGTGATTGCTTACAATTGTGTGGTTTAGCTGGCGATGTGGTTTCTGGGATGTTTTTGTTTTGGATAAAAAAAATTTATTATCAGCCTTGCTATCGGCTCGGATGTAGTTTTAAACCTAGTTAGATTATTGTGCCGGAAAAGAGAACTAGAATTTGATTTGGTTGACAATTATCATTTGAGCTTTACACATCAAATGCTGTTATTCTCTTGTTTCTTCAAGGTTTTTAATCGGATGCTGGATTCTATGTTTTGTTCTTGATTGAGCTGAAATAATCGGATGCTATTAATTAGAAAATAGATAGCCGCCGAAATAATCATGAAATCTAAACACTCAAGGCTGTCAAGTTTAGCGAAAGCTTACCGTGTGAGAGGATTAAAGAACAAAAGGGACGCTTACACAAAAATTATACTAGAGCAGTGTTAGTTTCACTACCTTGGGATGAGCAGGACATACAATTACTAACAACTAGCTTCTCAGCCCAATAGTAATGTTAGAGACAAATTAAATACTCCCATTTCTCTCTACACGTTGGTGTGTTGAACTTGATTGGATTGTTTCAATTAAATCGAAAAAGTGATGGAGTCATTGTTTAGTATGCTAGGGCTGAACTTATTGTGTTTTATAAGACCTTGTACGCATTGGCTCATTAACGTCCGGGGGGATACCATGCTAGGAATAACTGTTAACCTTATTAACTCATAGCAAACGAAAAACTGCTACATGAATTGGTGTCCAAAAGTTTAGTGTAATAAAATGGTGTCACTAGCAATATTGAGAAAAAGAATGGTTCTAAAAAGAAAAATGTTGAAGTCTAGGGTAAGTGTAGAATTCTCAAAATAGGGCCCAATCCAGATTAGTTACGCTTCTAAGCAACCAGCCCAACTACATCGGGTCCGTTCGGGTCAAGCCCTGTCTCATAGCGAAATGAAACCCTAGAAACAAAGATTATAAAACCCTGACGAAGCCATTTCCGCCTCTCACTGAGTCGTAGACGAAGGCAGCGCAAGATGCAGATTTTCGTGAAGACCCTAACCGGGAAGACCATCACTCTCGAGGTCGAGAGCAGCGACACCATCGACAATGTCAAGGCCAAGATCCAAGACAAGGAGGGCATTCCACCAGACCAGCAGCGTTTGATTTTTGCTGGCAAGCAGCTCGAAGATGGCCGCACCTTGGCTGACTATAACATCCAGAAAGGTCAGTTTTCCTCTTTCTTATCTGGGTTTTTGAATTGATTGGTTTGATTTTTTGATTATGGAGTCTAATTTGGTTGCTCTGTTTGATGCAGAATCGACTCTTCATCTTGTTCTGAGGCTCCGTGGAGGTATTATTGAGCCTTCTTTGATGGCTTTGGCTCGCAAGTACAACCAGGACAAAATGATTTGCAGAAAGTAATGTTCTTTTTCACCTCAAATCTGTTTATTTATGTGTAAATGAAGTGATTTACTAGAGAACCTTGCTGGGTTTTCTTGTTCTACTCTGTTATTATTCATTTAGTTTTAGAAAACTTATGGGACAATTACTTAGCCTCCTTTTCTGATAATGTGTAATTGAGGTTATACTTGTCCCAATACAAATTTCCATTCTCTTAACTTTGTCAGCTGGGCTCAATCACTTGCAGTTGATTTTCATGAGTGGAACATTATTTTATTATGATTATATTTACTTTGTAAACCCTGTATATCATAGCTATGTGAAACACTTGCTGCATTTTGGTCCTATAGTTAATTGAGATTTGATATGGGACTGGGTCTGAGGAAGTTGGCTTAACTGCTTTAAGCTAACCGTTAGTGATATTAATTAATTTCTTTTTAGGATATGAATATATTCATAAATTTGATTCCAATTTCTATCCCCACTCGTCAGATTTGTTGGCTGGATCCATTTAGTGTGAGTTAATCATGTGGGTGTGGTGGGGTATCATTCTAAGGTTGCGGCAGCTCATGAGCTTAACTTTTGTGACAATTACTTAGCGTCCTTTTTCTACTGAAATGAATTGAGGTTATGCATGTTTCAACATTTATTCCACTCTTTAACTTTAACAGCTGGCATAAATTATTTTAAGTTGATGTCATGGGTGGGTCAAAATGTTAGGCTTGTTAAATTTGCTTACTAGATTTGGGATAACCAAATTGTGTGCAAAACTTTCCGCATGAAGATTGTAGAGGTTAATGTTGAATCACATGTTCTATAGTGTTGCACTTATGTTCAATGGATGGTATTGTGGCTTCCAATATTAATTCCATATTTGCCTGATTGGTCTTTCAACACTTGAGGTTGTATGATTGTCCCACCCGCAGCTAATTTTATATATTTTCTGGTTTTTTAGATGTTATGCTCGTCTGCATCCAAGGGCAGTGAACTGTAGGAAGAAGAAGTGTGGCCACAGCAACCAGGTACTTTTATCTTTCCTTGGACATGTTTAGTTTTTATTTATTTAGCATTTGAAGTTTGATCAGAGAATTGCATAAGTTTATGATTGATATGCTTAGGATTTTCTTTTTGTTCTAAACTGAAGCTGTCTTCATTTGTTTTCTTGCAGTTGAGGCCAAAGAAGAAGGTCAAATAGACTATTGTTTTAGTAATTTTCCCCTTGTCTAGACTGGAGTTTGAATTTTGCAATTCGGTTAAGTCATTTGCTTTGTATTTGGAGTTAAACAAGTGCAGTTTATATTAAGATATATGAATTTTGGGATAATTTTGGTCTCTTGGTTTATATTTGCTTTGTTATCTGGTTTCCAGATGCTGCTTGAATATTCCTTTTGGTCGAGCTTTGTGTGATGTGAATGCAGCTGGGTTTTTTCTTGCCCTTTGCTTTGTCTAGTCTTTGGCCAGTTTCATATTTTTAGCTATGGCATTGGTCTCCAGATGCGGATATCTACATCTGCCTTGATGTTTTGTTAAATTTCTAATGTCAATAACCTACCTAATTTAAAAGGAAATGTCAAGTCGTTATTCAGTCGTGTTGAAGACTTGGGATGTTCGATGGTTTAGATGTAGCGAAAATTACATTTCCCTTTCGGTTTATGTTGATGCTCGAAAGAAAACCGAAGGAAATGTTCTCTCTTTGGTGGTCGAAATTAAGTGGTATTATAATCCATTTGCTCAATTTGAATGTCCGATGAAGAGCTGGTTTCCTACTAGTTCGAACTGCTCCCAACATCTGAGACCGACCCATTTTTCCCTTTGCTATTCAGCCCTTTTCTTTTTACCCTTGTAAGTTGTATTTGGGGTCTCCTGGTGCCTCAATCCTTACCTATTTGATTTTTTTATGTTTTATTGTCAAATATGAGTACCCATGTTTTTTGAGATTTTCTATTTAAACTCCACACTTCTCTTGTAACATCCCGACCCGAAATATTGATAAGTTTGAGATTTAATTTAATTTAAAAAGAAGTTACTTTGAGATTTAATTTAATTTAAAAAGAAGTTACAATTTTGCCCTCGGGTAGGTGCAAAATAGTCATTTTTATCCGGAAGAATTTTGGGGCAGCGATTAATATTTTTACGAAGATCGTACTGAGACGAGTTCGTAGACATGCGGTGGGTTCAAATCAGAGTTGTAACGAGAGAGATATGATCTAAAAATCCTCAGTGGCACAATTGTAATTATTTCAAAATTTTATTTGAATAAAAATCAGAAACTCTCCCATTTCCCTCTCTCCTGTGAGCAGAACCCCCCGCGTTTGCTGTTACTATTCATCCGGAGGCTTTTTGGGCCACCACAGGCACATCCGGCCACCATTTTGGGTGGTACCGGTACCAAAAGAACCAGCGCGACATCGCCTACCCATCCCGACCCTTCTCAGCCGCCACCGCTGCCTGTGCTCGCCGGAATATCGAGAAATGTCGCTGGTTTTACCCAAAACTTCATGGAGCTCGTTCGGGTGATTCCGGCAACCAAATCTTGCGATTCAGGTATGATTTCTCAACCTCTCATGGTGTTCTAGCTGCTGGTTGAGTTGGATAGGCAAAATTTCTGCGTTATGGTAGTTAATTAAGGGATTGAAAAATCTGCCGGTTTCGACCTCAGTTTTCAGCCACTTCCGGTCATTTTTTGCTCATTTGGGTGATTCCGACAACCAAATCTTGCGATCCAGGTATGCTTTCTCAACCTCTCGTAGTGTTCTAGCTGCTGGTTGAGTTGAATAGGCGAAATTTCTGCGTTTTGGTAGTTAATTAAGATATTGAAAAATCTGCCGGTTTCAATCTCCGTTTTCAGCCACTTCCGTCGAATTTTTGGAGTATATCCAAGAACAAAAGTGACTCCAAATTAGGTGTATTATCTAAGGTAGGAGTCTTGGCCCGAGCTTCTGAGATTTTCCGGCGATGCGATATCGCTTTGGACACCCACTTACTGCCAGCGCGTGTAGCGGCGTGTGGGCACTGTGTCAGAGGGGCATTTTGTCTCAATGCAATCCCCTGGTTGTCACGAGCGCGTAGGATTTTACGTATCTCAATTCAGATAACGTTTGAACCCCGAACGAATTTTACATATTGTGAAATTTTCGGGTTCGATATGTTAGAACCGTTGGATCGCTTCCAATTTAATATGTATTAATCTAGGTATTCCTAGATTCGTGTAGGAATTCACAGATCGGGAATCGGAGCCCCGGATGTTCCGATTTAAATAGTTAAAGTTTGCGTTTTTCGATAACCGTCTGATTATGCGATTGCGAGCGATCCGACCGTCCGATCTGAACCAAACTTGCAGGATGTGTATCCTAGACTTTGTGAAACCTATAAGAACTTTTGGATTGTAAAACGGAGGTCGTGGGCCCCGCGGGCCCGGTTGACCAAAATTGGAAGGTTAGACCCTCGGTTGACCGTAAGTCTTCCAAGGCAGTTTCACTATGTGAGGAGTACTAGAACGACTCTTTTGGACGAGTCTTGACTGTTATTTGATT